AATGCCAAGGTCTCTGGAAAGAGGTTTGTTTGGTAATGTGGAATTTATGATCTATGTGGTCGAGTGAGATCTGATGGCGGGGATCCAGTTGCAAAGAAAAGGTAGTTTATTTATGAACAGAGAATAGTCAAGCAAGATGGTCAGGATTGTGGGTAAAAGATGGGGACTGACAGGCCTTGGCAGCGAAGAGACTGCAATGGGCTGAGTGTCGTCTGCTGGTAGATAGTTCAAAGAGAAATCCAGTGAAGTGATGCGGTGATAATCCAGACATGAACAGGGAGCAAAACAAACGGCACAGAGATCTGGAAACAAAACTGGATTGGGAGAAACAGCAGGCATGAGGACAACAACGATCTGACGAAAGACAAGAGCAAACACACCACATGTAAAGGCAGTACAGACGAGCTTCAGGTGCGCTGAGATGATTAGGCCAAAGCTTTCTCATTACCAATTGGTACGAATTCGAACGATTTGTCTTAACCCCAGTGGTGGGTAGGTTTAGGGGCGGGGTCAGAGGTAGGTCATTCGTACGAATTCATACGAAATGGGCAACTCGTGAAATATTATCAAAAACCCTACAAATTCGTTCGAATTAGCCACCTCGTACGTACGAATTGCTTAAAGGGCACCTATTATGCCCCTTTTTACAAGATGTAATATTGGTCTCGGGTGTCGGATGTGTGAAGTTTCAGCACAAAATACCCCCACAGTTAATTTATTATAACCATGAAATGTCATTTTTGGGGCATGTTTTAAAATCAGCTGTTTTGGTGTATACAACCTTAAATGCAAATGAGCTGCATATCGCCGCCCTGCCTTTGGATGAGGGCGTCACTTGCATACCTATGGCAGTCGGTAAGCAGAAGGGCTGAGAGAGTGAGAGACTCGCTGTCATTCAGCCGTACATGTTTGAATGGGAATATATAAATAGTCTCTGATCAGACCCAGATGACGAAGAGACTCAATTAGACGAGACTTCCTTAGATTTCCACGACGCATGCGCGAGAACTGAACTGAAGTAGTGTAAGGAGATCGCAATTCTCACGTATGCGTCGTGGAAATCTAAGGAAGTCTCGTTTCTGGCCTACAAGGAAGAAAAGGAATAGTCGAATAAACTCGTTATTTTTGTTTGTTTTTTCACACAAAAAGTATTCTCGTCACTTGATAAACATATAGTTGAGCCACGGTAGTCACTTGGGATATTTAAACATTTTCTTCATTGACTTTCTGGGCCGTCAAAAGGCAGTCCCTTAGGTGGTAGTTATACAGCTCTCAAATTTAATCAAAAATATCTTCATTTGTGTTCCGAAGACGAACGAAGGTCTTACGGGGTTGGTACAGCATGGGGGTGAGTAATTAATGACTCCATTTTCATTTTTGGGTGAACTAACCTTTTAACATTTTTGCAATTGACTCTCTAGAGTCTCTCGGGCAAGAACACTTGGAACGTACATATTGTCTCGCTGGAGACTCAGAACGTGTATCCGTTACTGTCTCACTGGATGAACCGGAGACTCACTCAGGATCTGTTTCTGTCTCTACGCTTACAGGACTGAAACTGAGAACATGAATCTGTTACACTTTCCAGATGGGAGACTGAGAACAGCGTTGTATCTATTCATATCTCACCATTAAAGGCCAGAGACTCAGACGCAGGAGTTTCTGTTGAGAGGGAACATTTATCCCTTTCCAATGAGGAGGGGATTGCAATCTGGCGCTTCTCGTTTCCAGTGCTGTGATTGGCTACAGTGTGGCCCGCATTTTTTTTCCCTGTGGAATGCATTTGCATAAAGCACACTGTTAGAAGTCTTTAACATTTCTTTGAAGTTTTGCCAATGCATTTCTCACTTTCCAATGCCACCACCAGAATAACTTTGGCAATGTTCCAAACAAATAGAGTCCAAACAAGATGTCATACATGCATTCATTTGTGCATTAACAACTGAATGTGTATAAGATGTCACTGAGAATACCGAGAAATTGTGAAAGCCATTTTCTGTTGACATTACGTATCAACTTATCTCAGATGTTTCTATTTTTATTTGAACATACAGTGAAAGTACAGAGCAATGGTTCAGTCCTTTTTTTTCTCCACTGTCCAAACCAATGTTCAAAGGCCTGACATTACAAGTACCTGTAAATTAAATTTCAGGATTACAAAAGTTTTTAAGAGATTACTATTGTTTTGGGATACCACTCTTTTTAAACCAGACCAGTCATTCGTGATTTACTGGATAGGAATTTACAAATATTTGTATTTAATCACAATTTCTGCCCGCTAAAATATTTTAGAGCTTGGCAGAAAAAAAAAAAAAAACATATAGCCATATAGCCTATATAAAAAGATATACTAACTTACAGCACATCATTCATTCACATATTCTCATGAATCTGTCACATTATCATGGAGGCTACATTGCATATGCACAATCAAGCTATATGCGCAATCCAAAATATATGAAGATCATTCAATCATCCTTAATGTTCCTGTTGAAATGTATTGTGTCATAAGGTTAATTAGCCTGTTTGCCTTCATTCTGGCTTCAATTAAATTCAAAACGTCCTAGCCAACAAAGACAATTAAACATGGCCGTGTTCCATAGCCTTGCTAGTTTGGATTCATTACATGAAATTGGCAATGCACTTAATGAGTACATGTTTATCTGTCTGCCTCATTTAGGCCCAAAAATTGAAGCAAGTGCCATGCCAAGCGTGATGCAAACGTCCTGCCATCACAGATTCGTCGGTTGACCAAACGAAGTAAATGCAATCACAGGCAGTCGACAGCAGTGTTACTATATTCCCAGACAGCAAACTGACATTGAATCAATGTGGAAACGACGTCTCTCATGGCATTGAAACAACGTTGATTTGCTCATCGAATTAACGTTGAACCAACGTCAGACGCGGCATTCTTCAAAGCTAAATGAAATCGAAAATTAGTTTGCTTTCATAACGTTGAAACAACGCGTTGATTTCAAGTTGATTTTCCGTTAGTTTTGAAAGAATGACGCGTCTGACGTTGGTTCAACGTTAATTCGATGAGCAAAACAATGTCAGATCAACGTTGTTTCGATGTCATATTTCCACGTTGATTCAATGTCAGTTTGCTATCTGGGTTAGTTTAGTAGCACCCTGAAAACAATCGCTAGAACACATTTCTCAGTACTTTTTCAAAACTCTTTACACAGTAAAGGGACATTTAATATTCAACAATATTACTGATCTGTGTTGTATTACTTTCATGTTATCACTGTAAAGCTGCTTTGATACAATCTGTATTGTAAAAAGCGCTATATTAATAAATGTGACTTGACTTGACTTAGCGGTCACAGTATTAGTCTATGTGAGCTAAACTGTGGGTTATCATTGCTTTGGCACAAAATGCATTCAATGATGGCATCTTTCAATTTACATTTATTATTATCTCACAAACATCATACAGTAAATTATATGATTTCATAATTATATATAAACATATTGCGCCCCTTAATTAACAGCAATTGGATTGAAAATTGAATGAACTGCAATGTACTGGTTAACTGTTCTAGTTTGTGGTAGCCCAGCAAACATGCCAGTGCGGGCCCACTGTGGGTAAGTGTGGGTTTTCTGTGGGACAGTGTGGGCAAGGGCAAACCCTTTGGGGCCCCATGTGGGCTTGCTGAGGGCAAGCCCACAGTGGGCTTTCCCACAGAAACCCCTCAAGGGCCCCCAGTGGGTTAGCCCATGCGGGGCCCATAGCAGATTTGCCCATTTGGGCCCCCATGAGGGTTTACTGTGGGCAACCCACTGTGGGTTTGCCCACAGAAAACCCACACGGGCTCGCAGTGGGTTAGCCCATGCGGGGCCCATAGCAGTTTTGCCCATTTGGGCCCCCATGAGGGTTTACTGTGGGCAACCCACTGTGGGTTTGCCCACAGAAAACCCACACGGGCTCGCAGTGGGTTAGCCCATGCGGGGCCCATAGCAGATTTGCCCATTTGGGCCCCCATGAGGGTTTACTGTGGGCAACCCACTGTGGGTTTGCCCACAGAAAACCCACACAGGCCCCCAGTGGGTTAGCCCATACGGGGCCCACAGCTGTTTTTCACTATGGGGCCCCCATGAGGGTTTACTGTTGGCAACCCACTGTGGGTTTGCCCACAGAAAACCCACATGGGGCCCCAGGCAGTTAGCCCATGCAAAGTTAAGTTGTTTAACAGTCAGATGTTTTAACATTAGAAGGTTTAATATTAGAAGCTTAATCAAACTATTTAACGATCCTGTGAAATGTCAGTCCATAATTAACTAAAACTGCATATAATGGATTATGAGCATGTGCATTTAAAAACAAATTTTTGACTTATAAGGAATTATAAAAAAAAATATAGATGTAACTATATATTGTAATGCGGTAGGTCTTAATGAGTCTTTATAAATATATTTATAGAATTGTAATATTGCTCATAAATAAGTAGAAATGGTGCTATAATTCATTATAAGTATGGACTGCACAGAAAGTGTTACCATATTTATTAAATAAAATTAACTTATTTGTCACAATAAAAACAATACAATGGTTTACAGATATGTTTTGGTATTCATCAGTGATGGATATTTATCATAATATTATATTATTTATACTATTGATATATAACATATATTATTGCTACTAATAAATGGGCCTACATCACTGATGTAACGACTGAGCCCAATCAGACACAAACGAAACTGCGACGTCACTGGACGTAATTTCATTACCAACTTTCATTTATATAAAGCATTTTAGTGCTTTCATATTCTAATGAAAAAAATAATATTACATTGGTCATAGAACTACATAATGATTTTTAAATTCATGATATAAAATGAATGATATTTTAAATTGTTACATGTTATAATTCTAGATGTTTAAATGCTGCGTGCCTTTTGAATTGATATGATTTCAACGCGCGTGCGCGTGCGAGTCGCATTCAAAGTTGTCCGATTCAAAGACAGGAGCGCACCGCACGCGAGCAGATGGAAACCATGGAAACGAGGAAACCTCTTCAACTGACAAACAGCAAAAAATAGCGTCTCCCTGTTTTTCCACTGCTTTCAGGTAAGTTTGGTTAACAAAATCACACAAATAATACATACAAACGTTCCTGACACCTTTCTTACGTATAATTGATACGCTTCTGTTGAATATTTACTTTGTAGAAAAGGTTTTGAGTCTTCGAAAAAGTCCGTTAGCATCTCAACTGTTTTCAGAATAGGTAACGTTAAACGTTAAGTTAAGTTAACGTTAGCTCTTGTTTTACATAAGTTTGGGGTTTTAACCACATCTTTGTGTTGATTACAGTTTTTGTTTTGCTGGTAATTTGTCAATGGGTTATTGGAAATTAGCTAATTGCTAGCTAGCCTGAAAGAATTCACACTGTAACGTACTGTTGATCAGTGACGTCACTTACAAAGATTGATAATAAAAGTGATTTCAGAAGGGACAGAAAAAAACCTCCACAACAAAGGAGGAATTATTGTTTCATGATAATAATTTCATATGCATTTCTTGCACAATATATTACGTTAAGATTTTATTCTTTTTCTCTTTTCTGCATTGCATCTCTAGCTTGATTCCTTGTAATAAACCCTTTGTTCTATTGCAAATCCTATGTAACATTGTTGGCTCTGTGACACATTGCATGTTATTTTCTAGTCTAGAAAATCACCATGATGTCCTGCTACAGCCCTGTCCCAAGACAACCTCCACGGCTATGAACTCGACTAGTAAGCAAAACTTCAATCATACTGTTCAAAAGTTTGGGGTCTGTAGGATTTATGCTTTTTAATTAAGTCTCACACTCATTAACCCCAGTTTTTTTTCAGTGATATTGTCCTTGAGAAGCCTGTAGGCTAAATAATAGCTGGCAAAATAATATAATGTTATAATGGTCATAAGTTATAATAATTAAACTATTATGATAACATGGATATCATGGTCATTGGTATATTCTCTAGGTGTGTTTTTAATTATGTTGGCCAATGAGACACCATACTGTCCAGCGCTAAGGTATTTATTTATTTTCATGTAATTTTTTTTAATGATAAATACTAAAGTTCTTTTAACTTTTTAATGCTGAATTCAGGGGGTCGACAACTTTAGGCACGCAAGTTATTTTTCACAGATATCTGGCCAGTTTACTCATGGCTCATATTCTTAGCCTTTAAATGTTTGAATTTAAATCCACAATGCAATATCAGGGGGTAAAGATATCATTAGAGTTTCTAAAGTTACTATGCTCTTGTTACCAGATGAGATATCATTTGACCCTGTGATTCTTCAGGACCAGATCTTGATGCCATCCACACCCAGTACATGACAAAGGTGAGTTTCACAATAGCTGCCACTACCACAAACCAAGAGACCGAACACAACAGGCCTTCATCCATAAGAACTCACCCATACGTTGGTATAGTAACCAAAACCCGGTATTAAACATTAAACGGGCCCTGGGGCCAAATTAAAGGAAAACTCCGGTCAATTTTAACATTGAGCTATTTTTTTTTGTACATTTGGAGTGCTGTCAGTACAGACAAAAATTGGTGTTGCCTACACTGTGTTATCATCTTTTTAAAATTTGCACCCTGCTGACTTCAATGGGGCATGGTCTAAACCTGCTTTTAGCCTCTTAACATCCTTGATTTGTCATTACGAGTGTACAGCCATGTGAGTGGTGTTATTAAGAGTGACCACGGTCAATCTGACTGCAGTAGATATGAAAGATATTAATAAAAATGATGTTAATTCAGCCAGCGCACATACCTCTATTTGCTTCCTGTTTTCTGTCGATGCCCACAGTAGTCGATTGTCGATCTCACACGTGAGTTCATTTATATCGTCTCAAACCTACCACTGTGTGGTGTTCTGAGAATATCAGCTCAAATGGATAGTTCATCCGAATCAGATGTTGAACACACAGAGGTTTGAGATGATATTCACTTATGATCGCGCGCGTGAACTCGACAATCGACTACTGTGGGCTTCGCCCGAAAACAGGAAGCAAATAGAGGTATGTGCGCTGGCTGAATTAACATCATTTTTATTAATATCTTTCATATCTATTAACCGTGGTCACTCTTAATAACACCACTCACATAGCTGTGCACTTGTAATGACAAATCATTACGAGTACAAAAAAAAATAATTACAAGCTTTTTTTAAGGAAGTATCGAAAAGCCCAGGTGTTATCAGTTCTGTCTTGCAAATTCTGTGAGGATTAGGAGGGGTATTTTAAACAGTCTTCATACAACATGTTTTTCAGGCTGGTGGTTGTTTGTAATTTTAAATTTAAATTTTAATAAGTAGGGAGAAAATAAAAACCTTTATTGAACATTTATTAAATGCATGTTAATGTTTTCTAAATGATTAGTTAATCATTAACTAAACAATTGTAAATTATTTATAACTGAATCTACAAAACATACAATAATTAACATCACTTAAACATTTATGAAATGCATAATCATGTTTCATAAAAAATAAGTTAATCATTTACTAATCACTTGTAAATGACTTGTAACAGAATTAACAAAAAACATACATAAAATGTTAGTATATCAATTGCTAATCATTTATGAATGTTTTGTAAAAGCTTAGTTCATCATTAACCAACCAAAATGACTTACAACTAAATGTTATTATAAACCGCAGCTCTCTCATTGACCTATTCAGTCATTCTCTTAGTTAAGCATTTATAAATAGCACCTGGAACAATCAGAAGACGTTTCCTCATTCAAAGTGCAGGTTGAAAACTTTCTTAGGTTGAAATGACTCAACAGTACAACCCTTATTTTGTTTTTAACATTTGTATTTCAATTGATCCTTTCTCACTTAGATGCTGTGACAAAAAGCAGTCAAGCCACTGCATGTGATGTGGAAGCCTCTATGAAGACATGGCTCCGTAATCCCTGGGACAGAGATGGGGGACGGCAAGGAAGGGCCAGAACTGCAGAAATACCTACTGTTTCCCCTGAGGGGATTGATTTTTAATTTTCAATCCCCTGTTTTCTGTGGTTATTGCCGTTTTAAACTGTATTATCATTAATTATAATTATTATTAAATATAAATAAATTATTTGGGGAAAAAAACATGACCCTCGATTTATTGCTGCTAACAAGTGCAATTGTACTGCATATAGTAATATGGTAGTACCAACTCTGTGTGCTGAAACTTTGCAACTGCACCCACAGTGTGCCCACATCCAGCCTGCTATAATTTGTGTGGGCCAGCCCAAAGTCAGCCCACACTTTGGGCTGGCCCACGGTAAGTAGAGTGGGCCCCGATTGGAGCCAGTTGTGGGCCCACAGCAAACCCTTATAGGGGCCCATTTGGGGCCATTGCAGGCAGCCCACTGTGGGCCCACAACTGGCCCCAATGGGGGCCCACTCTACTTACCGTGGGCCTGCCCATAGTCAGCCCACACTTTTGGGCTGTCCCACTGGGGCCCCACCTGGGTCCTGAAGTGTGGGGCCCACACGTGCCCCGCATTTCACGCCGGTATCTGGGCCCACAGTGGGCTGCCCACAATGGCCCCCACATGGGCCCCTATAAGGGTTTGTCGTGGGCCCACAACTGGCCCCAATGGGGTCCACTCTACTTACTGTGGGCCTGCCCACAGTCAGCCCACACTTGTGGGCTGTCCCACTGGGGCCCCACCTGGGTCCCGAAGTGTGGGGCCCACACGTGCCCCGCATTTCACGCCGGTATCTGGGCCCACAGTGGGCTGCCCGCAATGGCCCCACATCGGCCCCTATAAGGGTTTACCGTGGGCCCACAACTGGCCCCAATGGGGTCCACTCTACTTACTGTGGGCCTGCCCACAGTCAGCCCACACTTGTGGGCTGTCCCACTGGGGCCCCACCTGGGTCCCGAAGTGTGGGGCCCACACGTGCCCCGCATTTCACGCCGGTATCTGGGCCCACAGTGGGCTGCCCGCAAGGGCCCCATTCGGGCCCCAAAGAAGCTTGTTTGCTGGGAGGCTACTGTATGAGAAGAGACAAAGAGCATATGGTTGAAATGCTAAGAGTATGGCCAAGAAAGAAACCGGTTAATTGTATTCAGTAGTGACAGAATTGTACGCAGGTGCACGTTGGATGCAGTTGAACAGATAGCGAAGTAAACGCACCTGTGCAATGCTCTGCTGTTATCAGGTTTTCAGAAGATACAGATTAACGAGTGTGTCAGGTCAAATACTTCCCAAAGGGTTTTCACAATAACAGTGTTAGATGTACCTACCGCAATCTACCATTCCCAGATAGCAGACTGACATTGAATCAACGTGGAAATATGACATCGAAACAACGTTGATCTGACATTGTTTTGCTCATCGAATTAACGTTGAACCAACGTCAGACGCGTCATTCTTTCAAAACCAACGGAAAATCAACTTGAAATCAACGCGTTGTTTCAACGTTATGAAAGCAAACCAATTTTCGATTTTCATTTAGCTTTGAAGAATGCCGCGTCTGACGTTGGTTCAACGTTAATTCGATGAGCAAAATCAACGTTGTTTCAATGTCATGAGAGACGTCGTTTCCACGTTGATTCAATTTCAGTTTGCTGTCTGGGTTGCTACTTGGAGGAGCTCTGGAAGGATAAAAGAAGGAGTGAAGACAGTGAAGGACGATTCATGGAGGCTGACTGGCCAAAGCAGTTTATTAAAAGACAACTTCGGCGCAAAATGAACCTTTGGTCTAATAACACATTGGTACACGGTAACATCAGGGGCGCAACTACCCAGTTTCGGAGGGGTATGCAGCAACAATTTTAGCGCCCCCCCCCCCCCCCCCCATAAATAAAAATTTATTTTTAAATAAAATAAAAATAAAATAAATGTAATGTAAGTGTGCTGTGTAATAAGTGAGTAGGAAGAAATGAGAGCTAACAGAAAAAAATAAGTGTAAAATTGTCGTTTATTAACACAATTAAACTATAGCTACTCCACCTTGATGAATCCCCCCCTAAGAAAACTCCATTGTAAGCTCCATTGTAACAGCAATACCAGTGTTTCTCACAGGATTTTAGGTAAAACTGTGGTAGGTGGACCTCTATTTCTCTAGGGGGGTTCGGGGGCATGCTCCCCCGTAAGAAAATTTTCTGTTCTGTAATGTTAAATTCAGCAGACTGGTGCACTTTGAGAGTTCAAAATTAAAAGCTCCAACCCATATTCAGGGTGCAAATTAAACAAAGAAAAATTTGATCCTCTTTTAGTTAGTGTCTGTCTAAATTTCACTACTACAAAATAATAGTTATTATATTAATCCCATGATAGTAATTGCCATAAAGGCTATTGTAAAACAAATGCACAGAAAAATAAAGGAAACTTTCATAATTAGTTTTGCACTAATTTCTATACTTGAAAGATACTTGCGCATAATGACATATTTCATGGGCCAGTGTGTCAGAAAAAAAAAACTAAAGCTGACTTTTTTTGACCAATGCATTACACCAGCACAGCGCCGCCAATTAAGCAAAAAACTAAACAAAAACAAACAAACAAATGGGCCGCCGATGTATGAGTTTTGTGGGCCGTTAAGACAAATAAATTAAAAAAGGATGAAATGTATTGTCTGAAAAGCACGTCGGCCCAGCGGGAATCTCCCGGTAGTCCCGATGGCCACCGAGATATAGATAGCCATGCCTGGATGTCACATTTTAAATCCTACCTGTTGGCTTTCAGCAATGCATGCAGTTATTTAGCTGCTGTCGTATCAATTGACATGCCATCTCCTTTTCTCTCTTTCTTTTTCTATTTTGAGCACCACAGCATTTTGTTTTATCCATCTTTTTCGACGACAACTAACTACTCGTACCTGCTCGCTCAGAGCTCACGGCGCCCCCGCCCGCTCGCGATATTACCCGCCCCCCTTCTCCATGAGGGCGCCTACTCTAGCTGTTAGTCCTCTAAAGTTTTATATAACATTGAAGGAATGCAGAAATGATTTAGAAACGCACAACGGCAGCTACATATAGAAATAGCTGCCGTTGTAGCCAATATATAATTTTTTTTTTTTTTTACCATCGCTTTGGCGCCCCCCATTGTGCTGCGCCCCTATGCGCCGCATATAGCGCATACCCACTTTTTGCGCCACTGGGTAACATAATGAGGGTCCCTACATGCAAACCGAAGCATTGAGAGCTTTGTAAGTGTACAGCCAGTTAAATGAGAAAATATTTTACATAGACAGCCCACTTCGCGTATACAGGCAGGAGCCATCTTTGGAAAACAGTCTCAATAAGTCGAGCCACAAACGACGATCATGCAGTTCAGAAGTTCACTGAACTTCATATAGTTCAGCTCACTTGGCACAGAGTTCGTGGTTCGACTTGTCAAGACTGTTTTCCAAAGATGTCTCCTGCCTGTATACGTGAAGTGGACTGTCTATATAAAATATCTTATTAAACTGTCTGTACACTTACAAAGTTCTCAATGCTTCGGTTTGCATGTAGGGACCCTCATTATGTTACTGTGTTAGTGTGGGGCTACAGTATTTTGAGCCTTGTTAGTGGTATTAACTAGCGATTTCTTTTCACTTATTCTATGCCCTATACACTAAACCATTTTTAGAGATAAAACTCTTTACATTTGATTATCATGAAAACAAATCTCAGAGAACAGTTGACTAGGTACCAATGTGTTATTAGACCAAAGGTTCATTTTGCGCCAGAGTTCTCCTTTAATCAATTAATAAATTTATATCACTGCGCAGCACCCGGAGATCAACTTTTACCCTTTGTGTGTCTGTGTCAGTCAGAGCAGAGATTATATCTTTTCAGATAACCCCACTTGTATAGAATGTGATTTTCTATACATGTCAATCAAACGGTCTAAAAAAGTAGAATAAGCTGCGATCAGGACTTGACTTTATACTGTATGTCTTGAGTCTGGCAACATATGACTGCATTTTATCTATGGCAGAAAGAAATTGATGACTATTCATTTTTGGCCCTTATGTGGATTGATGTTGCTATTCTTTGAAAAGAACTGAAAAGTGATTGAACTCCTCATTGCAAAATCCCCTGCACCCTCGTATCGGCTTATTTAAGAGATGTTAGGGGTTGAGATTCAAAAAATCCTACAGATACAACTCTCCCCAGTCTCATCATAAAATATTAATCTGTCTGTGTACTATTAAAATCATCCAGAAAATTGCCCACCCAAATGGAATATTTGCACAAGGCTTTTCCTCCACCAACCTCAGATAAGGGAGAAAGGAAAAGCCCACTCTTATTTTCCTTTTATGATTGTCTGCTAAACCCATGACTGGATTTTATGGTTTTCAGTAGATAACCCGAGGCATTTGTGACTTATGCTCTTGAAAATAATTGAATTTTTTAATTTTTTTGGGCAGTACTGTCAATAATATTATATTGTAAATCCAATGACCATGCAATTTAGGTTCAAATGTTCTGACACTAGAAAAATAGAAAATACAATAGAAACACTTGCACGCTCGGTGTGATGTGCTATACATTCTATATTGACTCACAAAATCAAACCATCTCTGCTTTCTTTCAAGTCAATTTTATTTAAACATACACATTGTTTCAAAATATCTGATAGAAAATGATGAAGTTAAAAATATATAATATTTCAGTAGTTGTATGTAGCAAATTATAATTTAAACAATCCATCAGTTGAGATTTGCTATATGGTATGCCTATACATCACTACTCTATATAAACAATCACAGAAACGAGATATGCTACATAGTAGCAAATTTAGTGATAAAAGTAATACTGACCCAAATATCAACATTATCTTATCAGTATTTGTGAGCAAGATGTGGTTGTACATTTATGTAATGAAGTCCACTGGAGGCAAGCTGCAGAGAACCCAAGTGCAGTTTAACGTGAACAAACATAAAACAAAAGAATTACGTGGCATGACCTTAGACCAAGACTTGAACAAGGAGACGTTACACAAATATGGGCAAACATGAGGGCTTAAATACACATGGACTAAATGACAAGACAAGGGACACCTGTGAAACAATGAACCAATGACAACATGACACGTCAGACAAGGGAACACATGGCAGGATCATATGACAGACATGAAACATGACCAAAACGT